GATTTGAGAGTTAAATTAATATGGAATTCAGGATCAGCGCATCAAATTTAACTAAGAAATACTTTTGTTCGTTTAAAAAACTTTATAATTAACGATTTTCGGTTGTAAACAATAAATTTTCCCACGGTCGTGACGTCACGCTCCTTATATGGTAATGTTTTCGCAGAGTTGCCCTAACACATTTGCATATACGTGTGAAAAGCGCCTATGCTCAATTACCGATTTTCTTTAATTGTCTCGAGTATGACGGGTTGCCGTTTTGCAGAGGAAAATCGGAGACAAATCAGACAGGACCGTTACAGTACTAATTTATTTTCATAAACTACTTGATAGTAGTTTGAAATGTATACTTACAAGAATTGGAATTCATTTGGGTACATGAAAATATTGTACATTCAGTAATTGTTTCTTCTTTGTTTCTCATTATTTTTTCATTATTATTGGCTTTACAAAGTTTTAATGCATTGATAGGTTTAAGTGTTATCATCTCATTTTCGACCTAAATATTTTGAACATAAAACCATAGTACCGGATACAATGAATTCAAGTACTGACTATATAAATTTGAATATCTTTGCATTGGTATATCAACATAATAAATACCAGTTATATTTATCAAGCAAGTATTAGTTAATATGTATGTTTTGATATTATTAGTTGACATAGATCTTTTTTTTGTATTATTTTCACAACATGACTTGAATTATTCATTTCAATCAAGAGCACTTCCAAACAATTATAACTGTCAGATAATTTATTATCAATGTTTTTATTATTAAATTTACTTCCTTCTGCATTTACGTTATTTATTGAAGTACAAGTTGAGTAGGTGTATGATTGTGGATCAGTCATGTGAGTTTTTGAATTTTCTGAAATTACAAGTTACTTTACTTCAGTTAAATTAATTTGGGTATGGTATAGGGATATAATTTTATCACTATTGTCATAAAAAAATTGTTATTTCTAAAACAATAAGATAAAATTATGCAAATGAATCATTTGTCTTGCATAAATAGAATATACTTACTAGAATTTTTACTGAAATACCCCAGACTATTTATTTCACAGGTCAAATAAGCACATATTATATTTTTGTTTTCAAAATAATCATCGTCATAATAACATAATAACTCCTCACTAGTCTTAATATTTTTTATTGTTTTTATTATCACACTGATTTTGGATATTGAATAGTATTCACAATTAGGTTTACAATCATGATTTATAAGAGCTGCTGGCACTAGCATGATAATCTCCTTTTTTGTAATTGGATTTTTCATCACTGAGAACTCGTAAATTCTATCGCGTTCCATACAAGGAGGGGAACGGAGAAGAGAAAACACCGGACGTGGAGTGACAAATATTTATTTGCTATGTACAGGCAAGCTAGTTACACGCGAACAAACGGGAGCACAGACTCAGCCGCGTGCATACTGTCGCTATGTTCGCACCTAGCTCGGTCATCGCGCAGATGCGCGCTTCGAGCGCCTGTTTCCGCCGGCGAGGCTGGTGCTGCCGGCTAGCAGCCGATGGAGCAGTCGGTCGAGTCCCCACAGGTACTCCCCCCTTAGAGACTTCCGTGGGGCACGGAAGGAACGACACCCTTTTGCGCAGGATGTTCGGCGTAGCTCGAGGCGGTGGAGAAACCTGTGGCTGCGTGCTGGAAGGTTCTCGTGGCCGAGTCGGAAACGGCGTCGGAAGCGCAAGTTCCTGCGCCTGGAGCTCCTCCCGCTGAGGCGCGGCGGCTGCTGGCGAAGGCGACGTCGAGAGCGCGGGTCCCTGCGGGCGAAGTTCGTCGTGCAGAGGCGGCGTCGAGAGCGCGGGTCCCTGCGGGCGAAGTTCGTCGTGCAGAGGCGGCGTCGAGAGCGCAGGTGAAAGGGGCAGCGGCGATTGATGATGTGGTAGCGAATGGGACGGCGGCGTAAGTTGCTGCGATGGCGCAGGTGCTGGCGGAACGTCCCTCGGAGCCGGTTTCTGGGACTCTTGACTGTCGTCCTCGAGGTAGGCGGGCTTCAACGCGTCCGTGGATACCGCCTTTTCCTGTCCGTTTACCCTGATGATGTAAACTTTGTCGTCTACGCGGCGGCAGACCTCGTGAGGGCCCGAGTACGGTGGCTGCAGTGGCTTGCGCACCGCATCGATGCGCTGGAAGACGTGAGTGGAGCTATTCAGGTCCTTGTTGATGAAAGGACGGTACGTTGAGTGCCTGGATGCTGGCACTGCTCGCAGCTGATGCATCGTGTCCCTCAGCCGGGCGACGAAACCCGATTGGCTCGCCGGAACGCTCTGCTCCACGAAGAATTCCCCCGGGAGGCGCAGGGTGGTCCCGAAAAGAAGCTCTGCTGGTGATGCCTCGAGGTCCTCCTTGTAAGCTGAGCGAAGGCCCAGCAGGACTACGGGCAGACGATCGGGCCACGGTGTGGCCGTGTCGCACATCAAGGCGGCCTTCAAAGTGCGGTGAAAACGCTCGACCAGGCCGTTGCTTTGTGGATGGTACGGCGTTGTGTGGATCCTTTTGGATCCGGTGAGCTGAGCCAGGGCCTTGAAAAGAGCAGACTCGAATTGCGTTCCCTGGTCCGAGGTGATCGTCAACGGGCATCCGAAATTCGCGATCCACTCTTTCAAAAAGGCGGCGGCGACGGTCTCGGCGGCGATATCCGGAAGCGGAACTGCGACAGGCCACCTGGTGAAGCGGTCAATGATTGTTAGGCAGTAGCGCAGCTCGCCGATGTGTGGCAGCGTGATGAGGTCGACGTGGACGTGCTCAAATCGATTGTCTGGAACGTCAAACGACTTGAGCGCAGCCCGGTTGTGCCGACCGACCTTGGCACGCTGGCAGCCGAGGCAAGCGCGGGCCCAACGGGCGACGTCTCTTCGGGCGTGAGGCCAAATAAATTTAGCCGTCAGGAGCCGAGCGGTTGCTCTCGGACTCGGATGAGCTGGCGAGTGCAGGACGTCGAATGCCTTGCGGCGCAGCGTGTACGGGAGATAAGGCCTGACCACCCCGTCGTGGACGTTGCAGGCGATGCTGACGCCATCGATCTCCAACTGCTGCAAGGTGAGAAGGCCCTTGTCGCGAAGGTGCCACAACTCTTCGTCTGTCTCCTGGGCCGCTGCGATGTCGCGCGCCAGAAGTGCCGATGGCATGCCGATGGTGCACGCTCGGGAGAACGTGTCCGCGACGACGTTGTCCGTGCCCTTGACGTGACGAAGGATCACGTTCTGCTGTACCAGGTAGTCCAGGTGCCTCTGCTGTCGAGGGGTAGCCTTGGCTGCCGGCTGATTGGCGGCGTAGATGAGTGGCTTATGGTCCGTGCGTAGCTCGAAAGTACGTCCCTCCAGGAAGCGCTGGAAGAATTTTACAGCCGCGTACGCTGCAAGGAGCTCCCTGTCGTAGGTGCTGTAGCGTCTCTCGGTGTCCGTGAGCTTCCTGGAAAAGAATCCCACTGGATACTGTTTCCCATCGATGGACTGTTCCAGGACGGCACCGAGAGCCGTTTCGGAGGCATCCGTATAAAGTATGAGCTGCGAGTCGGGGGCAAGGAACGAGTTCGTCGTTGCCTTGCGTAAAGCTTCCTTGCAGGCGAGGAAAGCTTGCTCGTGCTCCTCGGTCCAGGGTGGAAGCTTGGCCTTCTTGCGCTTCGGAGCTCCGCGAAGAAGATCGTTCAAAGGTACTTGGATGTGCGCGGCCTTTGGAATACAGCGTCGATAGTAGTCGACCGTTCCCAGGAAGCTGCGCAGCTCTTGGTAGTTCGTCGGCCTCGGAATTCTCTCGATGGCGTCGATCTTCCGAAGTGGTGGCCTGTAGCCGTGTCGCGAGACCTGGTAGCCCAAGAAATCCACCGAATCCTGGCCGATCTGGCACTTCTTGAGGTTGACGGTGAGGCCAGCGTCACGCAGTGCCTGGAACACGATGCGCAGGTGCTGCAGGTGTTCCTGGTGGTCCTTGGAGTGGATGATGGCATCGTCCAGATACCAACGGACAAACGGCATGTCACGGAAGAGCGAGTTCAAGAAACGCTGCAGCGTTTGCGGGGCGTTTCGGAGACCCAGTGGCATCATCATGAACTCGACGAGGCCGAATGGTGTTGTAACGGCTGTCTTGGCGATGTCCTCCTGCGCCATTGGGATCTGGTAAAATGCCTTTTCCAGATCGATCACCGAGAACACGACGCCGCCGTGGCAATCGTGAAGTAGGTCCTCGATGATCGGGAGCGGGTAGCGGTCTGCCTCGGTGACGGCGTTGAGGCCTCGGTAGTCGCCGGTGACGCGGTAGACACCGGGGCTCTTCAGCACCAGGTTGAGCGGGCTGGCCCACTGGCTCGAGGAAGGCCTGACGATGCCTCGGTCGGTCAGCTCCTTGATGGCGTCCTTGGCGCCCTTGAGGCGCTCGCCATGCAACGGGCGTGGGCAGTCGAAAACAGGAGGTCCGCTGGTGACGATGCGGTGTCGAACGACCGCTCCGTCGATGTTGGCACGCCGGGAGTTCGGCTTCATGAGGTGGGCGAACTCAACCAGCAGCTCGTCGTACTGGCGGCGAGCGTCCAGGTCGCCTCCAGGGTCGTGTAGGATGGCCACCGAGTGCTCCACCGCTGCGAGCTGCAGTCCCTGCGAGCGGAGGCCGGTCGTCGAGTCGACAAGGCGCATGTTCTGCAGGTCCGGGAGTAGCCCAGCGTGGCCCAGAAAGTCGGCACCGATGATGGCGCTGTGGATGTCAGCGATAACGAAGGGCCAGGTGTACTCCCTGCGCAGCCCGAGGTTGAGCGCGAGCACGACGCGACCGTAGGTAGCGATGGGCGACATGTTCGCCGCGGTAAGGCTAAGCTCCTGCTTAGCCAGGCGTCCGGCTGTCGGTCCCGGCACTGCCGAACGGGGCAGCAGGGAGACGACGGAGCCGGAATCGACGAGGAAGGTCAGGCCCGAATTCCTGTCCTTTATATGCAGGCGATTTTCCGTGGCGGTGGCGCTGCCGTGAAACGCCTGAACGGACGGCAGCGTCATTAGTTTTTCGGCGCCGAGCTGGCGACGAAGGTGCAGGGCTGACGGCAGCGCTCTGCTGAAGCACCGAAGCGATAGTGGTAGTAGCAGTGGCCGTTGGGTGCTGGTGAGGCCGAGCGGCTTCCTGAGCCACGGCTTCGGCTGCGGCCACGTCCGGACTGCTGCGAACCAGGGCGCGAGAACTGCGTCGAGGCGGTGACAGCCTCGAGAACCAGCTTCGTGGCTGACAGCAGTTGTGCCATCCCGGCACGCAGATCAGCGATGTCCCCACTGATGGAAGAGCCGGTGGAGGCAGTGCGAGCCGGCGATGTGCCACGTGAGCCCTGCCTCACTGCCGACACGGAGGCGCCTGGCAGCTTGTAAAGCTCGTCTGCGGCTTCAGCTAGCTCCTGAAGCGAGGCGTTGCGCATGACGCGGAGAACCTGCTGCGACATGGGCGGCAGCACGTCGAGCCAGCGAACCTTCAGCCCAGCGTCGTCGATACTGGTGCCTGCGAGACGCCTCATCTCGTGGAGGATGCTCGACGGCTTGCGGCCCTCCGTCTGGATGCCGCTGTACAGTGTGCGAAGCCGCTGCTCGGCGGACAGGCCAAAACGCGCTAAAACTTGCGCCTTCAGGCGCTCGTACTTGCCTTCGGCCGGTGGATCCTGCAGCACGTCCAGAAGGTCCCTCGTCATAGCAGCGTCCAGAGCGGTCACGATGAGGTTGTAGCGCATCTCATCAGCGGTGACGCCATGGCATGCCATCATGGACTCGGCGTGCGCGAACCAGCCCTCCAGCGATTCCTTCCAGACGGGAGGGAGCTTGCAGGAGCGTGCAGGTCCTCCATTTTGCATGGCCAATTGCTGCTGTAGCCGAGCGAGCTCCTGCCCTTGAGTTTCCAGGGCGGCAGCGAGGTCGGTGACAGGAACTTGGTTCTGATTGTCGCCATTATCCCCCATCACGATACTGGCCTTTTTCGTCTCTTGAGACACACACTCGCGAACCCTACGTTTTCTCGTCGATTCGGGTTCCGGTGGCAGCGGAGGCCCAAAGTCCCGTGCGAAAGAGCGCGTGTAGGGTCGCGCCGTGAGCGCTGGCTTTCGCGATGGCCCTGAAGTCGACCGGGCCCTGTTCGTTGCCTTCCGCGGCGGCACCGAAAGAGATCGCGAAGAGCTGGTCGCGAGTCTGTGTGGTGGCAGGGAAAACTGCGAGTCGTTCGCGGATTTTCTCGACGGCGCCAAAGGTGCAACAGGTGCCGGTATGCGCGAAGGCAAGTCCTGCGATGGCGGCGGCGTGGGTTTCGAGCCGGCCACGACGTCACTCACGAATCCGTCCGGATCACGTCGGGGTCACCACTATCGCGTTCCATACAAGGAGGGGAACGGAGAAGAGAAAACACCGGACGTGGAGTGACAAATATTTATTTGCTATGTACAGGCAAGCTAGTTACACGCGAACAAACGGGAGCACAGACTCAGCCGCGTGCATACTGTCGCTATGTTCGCACCTAGCTCGGTCATCGCGCAGATGCGCGCTTCGAGCGCCTGTTTCCGCCGGCGAGGCTGGTGCTGCCGGCTAGCGGCCGATGGAGCAGTCGGTCGAGTCCCCACAATTCTCTTTGTAAATTTAAAAATTGTTTGTAAATTTTGTAAATTTAAAAATTGTTTGGTTTGATCATTTAATACACTGCAAAATCCAGTAACAAAATCTAATTTTGTTCCTTATGGTATATTTTTTGTTGCTATGATCTTGACACCTTTGAAATAATCTCCTTCATAACGTCTAGACCCTTGAATATCAATATATAAATCAGAAGATATTGCTTGAAGGTAAGAGTGCAACATTGGTTTTAACTAGTATAAATGTGGAATATTGAAATCCATATACAGTTTATGAGCTTTAACAATTTCTATTAATTGAATGTATAGTTGATTTAAGTTATATTTCTTTATCTGTAGGAGAATACTTATTCAATATTTTCTTTATTTCTGTCTGAGTGACTAGAGAAAGAATATTGTTTTTGTTTATTTTGCGAGAACTAAATCCAACATACGGATCCAAGATCAGAAATTTACACAGATCATCAATCCTCCTTAAGTCATGGGATCGCATTTTTACTTTTGTATCTTTCTTATGTGTTTGAATATTAGATAAATTCATACTTTAAATCTCTGATTTAAATTTATTTATTCAATTTATTCCATAATATTTATTCAATCTGATCACTATCCACAATATTACGAACTAAAAATCGTTATTATACATTCTTTTAGCATTTAATCAATCAGATTGGTGAATTAGCGAATGTAATCCAATTATAACTGACTCGATATTATGTACATGGCTTGCACAGCTGAACTACCGGAATAAATGTAGCTAGATCTATTACTAATCATGCTCTTTACCTCAATCTGAATATTGTGGCAGACCAGATATGCTTGACATGGCTTGAATATTAGAACAATCGGGTTCTATCGAGGTAGCCATATTATTATTTCAATTCGGCACATCGCGATATCACGAAGAAAGTGATCGCCGAATCGACGAATTAAAAGTAATTGTCAATTAACGACGTGAAGCTATTTTAACAGAAGAGTAGATTCTCAACAAGGAACCGGTGTTACAGAAATTCATTTTTGCGCATTCGATCAGATTGGTGAATGAAAAAGTCAACGTGAATACTATGGCTGACGGGATAATCTTGACAAGGCTTGAATATCAGAACAATCGAGTTCCATCTACGTATACGTATTATTATCTCAATTCGGTAGGTTGGGATATCACGAAGAACGTGAATGCCGTATCGACGATTTAAAAATAATTTTCAATTCAAGTCGTGTAGCCATTCTACCTACGTAAAGTATAGATTCTCAACAAGGATTCGGTGTTACAGAAATTCATTGTCCCGCATTCGATGAGATTGGTAATTAAGTCTATGTGAAGACTACGGTCGACCGGATAATCTTGACACGGTTTGAATATAAGAAAAAATGGGGTTCGATCTACGTAGACGTATAATTATGTAAATGCGGTGGCTTACATGACTGGTCGGTTTGATATCACGAAAAATATGTAATCGAAAAAGGGCGGTTGGAACTACCGAGGTATCAGTCTCAAAGCGTGAAACGCTGTATCGAAAATCGCATTTGCGTATGTTCGATTTGACAGCTAAATCAGATAATTGATTTCTTATAGCCGTCAGTGGTATATGTACACGGTTCATAGGTCGGATGGACGGGATTAAATGTAGCTGAATTTATGTCCAACTAGATTCCGGAATATTATGTATTAAAGTGAGTGCCATATCGAAGATTAAAAATAATTGTTTATTTAGGACTTGTAGCTATTTTAACTATTATCATTAATATGAAAAGATACAAATACTGTACAATCTGAGTTGTTATTAATTAAAGTAGTTTTTGTAACCATGCCAGAAAGTATATTTTTATCTGCTTGCCGTGAGAATTCATTTTAATATCAGTTGGAATTTCATCAAATTGTTTATTTAGATACAAATCAACAAATAACTCAATATGTAAAATTTTATGATTTAGTGTACCAAATGTTGAAATTAAAAAATAGTATTTCTTATGAAAAAATACGATTTCTTATAAATATAGCCAATAAATTTAATAAATGTTAAATAAAAATAGTTAAGACTTGAAAGAATAATTAAAAACTTATTATTACCGTTTTAGGAGATTTACTGTAAAAAAATTAGGATTCATTAAAAATTCTTTCATTCTTTTTTTAATAGAATTTATTATTATTTGAACCAAAATAAATATATACTTACAAGAATACAATTTCACCTTTTGAATCAGAATTTCATGATTTATGTTTCTTTCACTAGTAAAGTGTAATTTTAAATTGATATCTTGAAAAATAAATGATGCTAAACGATACAATTGGTGAATATTCAATTTTAAGTAAAAGCTTTCAAATTTTATTTGTATCTTCAATATTGCAAAATTATTATTACTTTCTATTAAAGATCCATTATCAGTTTGTAGTTTACATAGGGAGCTTGTATGTTTGAATTCAAAACACTGGTATTCCAAAATATGTCATCTAATTCAAGATTTATTTGCGTTAATTTTGAACCAAATATTTTTATTATTGATAGAGTGATCGTTTTGTAAATATTGTAAATTTCTTAAGAGTAATATATGAAATCAAGTATGTTACCAAAATTATACACGAAGAATTAATAGAATAAGGATAATGGTTGCCCGACTTGAGGGATAGAAGCATACAATGAAAATCAAGTACTAAACTAGTATCTTATCAATAAATTTATTCAATGAGTCGACTCAAGGCAATGTCACAATTATCATTCCTTCAACACTATATTTAAGTTAAAGATTTTAAGATTTTAGTTAAGTTGAAGATTTTACCTCTCCCGTCAATATTAGAAATTCTAGTCGTTATTTTTTTATCGAATATTACAAATCTAAAGATATTTTCACATCGCACGACCCACGCTGGTTTCTCACATAAACATTAAATTTTTGCATACGAGGCGTGAAGATTCCCCCGTTAGCTCAATCGCTCGTTACCCCGATGCTTCTCCGCCGCCACGCTGTGCGTTGTCCTTCCAGTTACGAAAGCTTTCGTGATGGCCCAGGGTCCTTCTGACAGCATCCGACGATTGTTGATCAGGCAATCGGGCTGGATAGAATCCTCCTACCCTGGTTAAGGTTGTATCGACACATGGTGCGAGGCTAGGGCTGCGGAGATGAGTTTTGTCGGCGAGAGATGTTGCTAGGTGAGCTGGCGGCGAACGAGAGAGCTCCCGAGTTCACAGCCACTGCGAGCAGCAGAGCGCGCTTCTACTTGAAGTTTTGTTGAGCGGGTCAATATATCGACGGTAGATCGGGCACAGAGAGGGCGCGCATATTCAATTTTATATACGCACGTTACAATACTCGTATGATAAAATCATCACATGATTGGAAAATTTTTTTGAATTCTTATTATATAGAATATCAATTTTGTATCGCAAAGTTTAGATAAATTTTCTTTCTTATGAGTAAAATACTTTTTACATTTAATTTTATAGTTCAGGCATTCATATTCTTCATTTTCATCTCCGAAATAATCATTTCCATAATAGCAAAATAATTCTTCTGCTGACATTACTTTTTTTATTATTTTTACTTTCACTGATGATTGTAATAGTGACTCATATTCACAGTTTGGGTCACAACTATGGTTGATAAGAGCAACTGGTCCAAGCATTAAAATATCTACATGAGACTTATTGCTTCTCATCAAAGAGAAATCCAAATTTTATGATTGCAAAAAATTTTTTGTTCTGTCATCTATAATTTCATAGAAGCCTTTAAGAAAGTTGAGTCTTGTACCTCTTGGCATATTTTGATTAGCTATTATTTTCAAGCCTTTGTGGCGGGGAATTTCGGTGGTCTTAACCGCGCTACCGAATCTCTTCCGCCACAAGGCCTGGGTACTCTTTACCCCCGGTTATTTAGGGGGCCAGACCGCCGTTTAATTGAGGCGATCATCGGGGATAGGGCCTAAAGGTTGTCGCGTATCCCGGTTTGCTTTCACGGCAACTGCGCAGGGTGGGCAAACGGATGGGTAGTCGCGATCTACGCCACTTCAGGCCTCAGTGTCCAACAATTCGATTCCTCTTTGTCTCCTCGTTTATGGTATGCCGGCAGCACAGATGATGACACTTTACCTGAAAGAAGGATCGGAAGTCCGTTCGAATTCGCGTGTATGTTACCTATCGAGGGAACCGAAAATATAACGAATCAGCGTTACCCGATTATAACCGTTCGCGGCTGAAAATAATCAGCATGTAACTAAGACAGGGTAACAAGCAGTAAAAATTTATATAAAGAACAATTGTTCTTTATATAATTCAAAATAGTGATTAATTAATCACTATTATTGACTTATTTCATAATTCATACGCATGTGGTCGGATTAATTA